AAGACTCGCACAACGGAAGACTCGCACAACGGAAGACTCGCACAACGGAAGACTCGCACAACGGAAGACCCGCACAACGGAAGACTCGCACAACGGAAGACTCGCACTACGGAAGACTCGCACAACGAAAGACACGCACAACGGAAGGCTCGCTCAACGTATAAGACTCGCTCAACGTACGTAAGACTCGCTCAACGTAAGACTCGCTCAACGGAAGACTCGCTCAACGGAAGACTCGCACAACGGAAGACTCGCACAACGGAAGACTCGCTCAACGGAAGACTCGCACAACGGAAGAATCGCACAACGGAAGACTCGCTCAACGGAAGACTTGCTCAACGGAAGATTCGCTCAACGTAAGACTCGCTCAACGGAAGACTCGCACAACGGAAGACTCGCACAACGGAAGGCTCGCTCAACGTATAAGACTCGCTCAACGTAAGACTCGGTCAACGTAAGACTCGCACAACGGAAGACTCGCTCAACGGAAGACTTGCACAACGGAAGACTCGCTCAACGGAAGACACGCTCAACGGAAGACCTGTCTCTTATACACATCTAGATGTGTATAAGAGACCTGTGTAGACACAAAAGGATTTTTAGTTCCTGAGCGATTAAGCTTGTCTTGTAACGGCCTGGTGCCTGAAGGTTTGCCATGCTACAATTAATTTAATTATATTTATAATATATTTATCTATTAAGGTTGGTATTGCATCATTATTGGTTTAAATTATTCCTTCGACCATCTTAGCACATCTTTTTCTTGAAATTTATTTACTTTAATGTGATGAAGTTAAATGAACGATGTGATTCATTAATTTTTAATCAAGCAATCAGGGCTAAATTTGCCATGCAATATATATTATATAACTACGAGAAATGCCGACGTTCAATCTATCGGCTGATAAATAAGGGCGTACGGACCTCATGACCTTAGGTATAGGCACTCCTTAGAGGTATATCGAGAACTTGATTCAGTAGTTGGCTTTTATCTCAAGTTAACCAAGAATTCGAAAGCGAAGAAAATTGACTTTAGTCGTTTAATTCTTCTTCTGTCCTTGAATCTTTATAACTGATGATGGAGCAAGACTTATGAACGATCTCGCTGAAGAAATGGTGCATTTATTAGACGTTAATTTTTTTAATTTTTAAATAATTATTATTATTCCCCGTGATGTGATGAATATAAAGTATCGGTGAAAAATTCCTCCGAAATTAACATAAATTTCGCACGATCACAACAAATAATAGATTCAGCGGCTGATATAATTCCGTATTGAGGTTCAGAATAATTGAGCTAGCAAGTTTTTCCTGCCTTTGTAAGACGGCGATTTAATTGAGAGACACAATGAAGTCACCATAATTGCTCTGAAATATTGCAGCGTATTCAACTCAAGAAGATCTCTTCCGTTATTTTAATTGCATGCCCTTTATTGGAGGTTAACAGTTTAAAACTTACTTGTGGGTGCAATTGGGATGTGGCTGATTTAGTTTTTGCTCCTGTATAATCATTTTTTATTGATCTGCTGCATATTATGTAACTGAGTTGCAGAAAATATTTTCAGGGATGTAAGTGAAGTTTAAATTCATTTGTACCTAGCTAATTGAGATCAAAAAAATCAATATAGCGTATTAAAATTCGCAATATATAGTATGAACTGAAAAAAGTTTAAATGTTTTCTTCGTTAGTAAGTTTATGGATATATAATCTTGCCGACATAATGAATGAGAACATATAATCCCGTCACTAATCTCAATATTAAACATGATTGCGTCAGCTGCTCGTGATCACATTATGCCGAAAAACCGACGAAGATTTTTTCCCGCGTCATACGGGAAAAAAAAGATAAGACGTCTTTTGTCAAGATTCATGCCAGATGCGGACGTGCCCGAAGCTTTTTTCAAAGTTGTAATCTTGCCCGAAGTTTGTCAGGAAAAGTTTGAACAGCAGCCGAGTTTACCTTCAGTAAATTGCTCTTTTTAAAAGGCCCCAAGCTTGGACGAAAACTTGAGGCTGGCGAAGGGCCTTCCATTGATGGATTTGCATCAGGCGAGTAGAACTGCTTCTGCTAAACCAGCGATATTGAGTTTGCTGGAGTGGCTTGAATGTGATCGTCGGCTAGGGCGGCTTGAATGTGATGCTGAACGTGTCAGCTGGAGTGGCTTGAATGTGATGCTGAAAGCGTCAGCTGCGGCGGCTTGAATGTGATGCTGAACGCGTCGGCTGCGGCGACTTGAATGTGATGCTGAACCCGTCGGCTGCGGCGGCTTAAATGTGATGCTGAACGCGTTGGCTGGGGCGGCATAATGTGATGCTGAACGCGTCGTCTGCGGCGGCTTGAATGTGATGCTGAACGCGTCGTCTGCGGCGGCTTGAATGTGATGCTGAACGCGTCGTCTGCGGCGGCTTGAATGTGATGCTGAACGCGTCGTCTGCGGCGGCTTGAATGTGATGCTGAACGCGTCGTCTGCGGCGGCTTGAATGTGATGCTGAACGCGTCGTCTGCGGCGGCTTGAATGTGATGCTGAACGCGTCGTCTGCGGCGGCTTGAATGTGATGCTGAACGCGTCGTCTGCGGCGGCTTGAATGTGATGCTGAACGCGTCGTCTGCGGCGGCTTGAATGTGATGCTGAACGCGTCGTCTGCGGCGGCTTGAATGTGATGCTGAACGCGTCGTCTGCGGCGGCTTGAATGTGATGCTGAACGCGTCGTCTGCGGCGGCTTGAATGTGATGCTGAACGCGTCGTCTGCGGCGGCTTGAATGTGATGCNCTGTCTCTTATACACATCTAGATGTGTATAAGAGACAGCTATTGGACTACAATCTCGACCCACTATTGGGACCAGTGACTATAAATCCCGACACGCTGCCCTTGTAGTCACGCTGCCTGAATCTGTCGGATTATTCATGGCTTGGCGATGGCATGTTCAAGCCCCGGGAAATTGGCCAGGATTTTTGCCCCGTAGGACGCCTGGGGTTTATTAACTTCCTGGCTGAAAATTGGCGCCTGGCATGCGCTGTTATTGCTCTGTTCAGGCAAGCTCTTGCGATGCTTCTTTTGTCTCACGGAACAGACTTGCCCTCAATTTTGTTTAAAGCATTAATATTCCAAAAGAATTTATATTATTTGGTTGGAAAAAATTTTGTGCTAGATTTTGGCGCATTTTCTCATTTATGGAAAAAATGCACTATTGTGCTCGCCATGTCCGTCTATCCGTCTGTATCTCTGTCCGTCCGTCCGTGACCTCAAGTTAGACGAGGCAGTGGAGGGTAGACGCAATCGTCGCCCTGGTGCGTTGGCTCGAATATGTTGACGTCGATGTTGTTGGTGGTGAACACCGCCTCTGCTGCTGCCTGTGGTGGTGATGATTGTCAGTGATGATAATTGAGAGTAATGATTGACTATTTCAAGTATTGATGATTGCAGGTAATGATAATTTCCAGTAATGATGAATAGCAGTAATGATAATTGCCAGTAATGATAATTGCAGTAATGCTAATTGCAGTAATGCTAATTGCAGTAATGATAAATAGTAATAATGATAATAGCCAGTAATGATAAATAGTAATAATGATAATTAGCAGTAATGACAATCAGCAGTGCGTAATGATGTCATTTGTTGAAGCTACTAATCAATGTCTTATACCCGAACCATGTTTATTCAGTCGGCAATAAAGGTTGTTTTATTATTACTTCTAGCTGCGTCACAAGTTGATGGAACTTGAATTTATTGATGGAAGAGACTTTTTGGAATTATTAAAATTATCTGATAAATTTTTCTATCCTCTTTCGAGGTATATTTTATTATATTTTTATGAGTGGAGTTGATTGGATATAAAGCGAATAGTAATTAAAGTGTTCAGAGAAATTACACTCTCGTCTCGTTCATCGATGTGTCAAGACAAGAGCTCTCCCTCCGACCAGCTCAGCTAAATGAAGTGTTAGGGCAGCTCCTTATTGTTCTTTGTATCCAATTTGCTTTCAAATTTTTACACATGATTTTACTTGCTTATTTGTAACAGATATAGTTGCAGTAGTCTGTTTCAGTTCACTCCTGTAATCTAGATGGTCAGCAAAGTTTTTAACCCTTTACCGCCTGACATGAGTAACCGGAGCAATATTGTCACGCGCCTACTTCCCAAAAAGGATATGTTCTAGTGAGCACAAAATGACTTGCACTGATGGTTGCCGCCACGTACGACAACTTTAAATGTTCTCTGTTGCGTACAAACGTTTTCAGGTTGCTACACTCAATACTTTACGAATAATTCAAGTTGAAAGTTATGTTCCCGGAGAGTGACATACGGCGGAAGAGGGTTCAATCCTCTTATTCAATTCGGCTAAAAAAATGTTATATTAATGAAAATTACATTCATTACTCTTAGTTATACTTCTGTGGAACGATTCGAAATTTTCTAGTGTGTATAATGACGATGAAAAAAATTCTTCTGATAATTTAAATGTGTTAAAACTTTTTTGAAATGCGGTCAATATAGTTTAGGATACATATATATGCTGTCGCTTGCTAGGCTACTGGAACCTTTATTGCTTCAAAAGATACTTTTTCACTCTCGGTTACATGGTTACCATAACCGTTTTAGGCATTAATTTATTCGTTCAAAATATGTATCGGAATATATATATATATTTGTTCAGAATTTACTCTACATACCAGAACGTCAGTAGGCAGTGTGGGAGTACGGGACAAAACCCAGGCAAACTGATCACGAAACTCGCCGAGCTGAAAAAAATACGTCGTTAAATTACAATAGTCAATTGTAACATTAATTTCTGGTCAATATTTCAATATCTGACCTGAGGTTAGATCGGTGAGTGGGTAATGATCGGGATTAATGAGGCACAAAGTGAAGATTAACGGGATACTTGTCGATCTATGGAGTATAGAAAGCTTACAGTTTATGGGAATATAGATTGGAGTTTGAGGTTGACACTTTCTGACTAAGGCTCACGACTCGAAGGGGAGCGAGTCGAACGTATATGCTGTTGTTCTCGGTTCTGACTGACTTCCTGGTTATGTCAGAGACCTATAAAGGTTCGCTATTTGACGTAACTAAGAACGTGAGTCGCTACCGGGATAAACAATGAAATGACTAACACAAGGAAGTGTTATGAATAGTCCGGAATCAAGGAGATGATTCAAATGAGGAAATTAATGCCTCAGGTCAAAACCATTGTCATCTGACAAAGGAATAATATTACAAACGAACCGTGGATTCTGGAAATACTGATAAAAAAATCTCATGAGCGCATCGTTCTATGCTTTCAAGTCTCACTCATTTCTCTGAGTGTAACTTCCACTTTTATATTTGAATTAAACAAAAAAAACTATCGCGTTAGTGTGCATTTTTGTATCCAATGTGATCTTTGTATCCAATTTACTTGCAAATTTTTACACATGAATTTATTTGCAAATTTGTAACAGATTTAGTTGCAGATGTCTGTTTCAGTTTACTCCTGTAAATATGGTCACCAAAGTTGTTAAATGGGTCACCTGATCGCAAGAGTATGCGCAGTAGTAGGCGTCGTAGTCGATGCCTATGACGTTGTAGACGCCGAGGCCCACCGGCGGCGCTATGACCACAAAGTGGCCAGGAGTTGCGGTCTCTATTCCCTCCCACTCCGATGACACCACCGAACCATTGGCGGTCAGACCACTGTTAACGATGCTGATGTTGCCGTTAGCTGCCATGTGAACATAAGTTTGAGTTAGAAGCGTACACTGTTCGAAAAAAATTAGATCAGTACTCATTGCAGTGAGTGACAGAGAGCGCATTTTCTCGTCCGTCCGTGACTTCACGTCACGGAAGGACGGACATGACGAGCACAATAGCGCCTTTTTTCCATAAATGATAAATCACTAAAAACGGAAAAGAACTGTCTCACCGGCGTTCAAGTGGCCGGTCGACATGTGAAAATAAACTGTTAACTGTTTTTTTCTGATGGTTTTTATGGGTTTCTAGTGTTAAGTTTGAATAAAAACGGCAGTAATGTGTTACTTTTCACGTATCGGCCGGCCATAGAACGCCGGTGAGACCGTTTAACAGGGATTTTTCTTAAATTGTAAAACACCACTCTTACAGTTATTTAGACATGCCTACAGGATTGTATAAGGCCACAAGGAGTGCAAGGAGAGTTTGTGCAGGATATCCCCATTAAGTAACACAATTTTGGTCAAATTTCAATCGCGAGTCAAATTTCAATCTCAATAAGTACTTACGTTCGCTTAACGAATTTTGAAAGTATGGCCCCAGGACCAGGGCGGCGAAGACGGCCTGCCTGCCTAGGGGTACTAAGGTGGTGTTCCTTACTGGCCTGGGACTGCTGCGTCCGAAACGCTTACCAAGGATGCGTAGGATACGCGTATGATACCCACACGCTGGCCGATTTCATGGCCATAACTGTCACTTACATGCGGTCACTAGCAATAATACATTCGTTTTTAAAAAACATGCGTCATAAAAAATAATAAATTTTGAATTATCGTAACGAACGAACAATTTCCGGACGCGCTGGTCGAGAGTTGCTCTCCTTCCAACTTGTTGAACGTTGAATTAGTTCAGCGATGTAACTTATTGATTTTCTTCCCCTTATTTCATTGTTCAAATATTCTTGCTTGGAGAAATGAATTTCAAATGTTCAATTAGTCTATCGATGCCCTAATTTTATTTCTAAAAAAATTTATAAAAAATTTTCTCTAAAAACGTACCAGGAAAGCAAAAAGAGTGACCCAGTATTTAATATTTTAAATGAATGAAATAAATTATGTAAGCTCACTTATTTTATACTGAAAATTTTCATCCTCAATGGCCAAGTGAACTGAGAGAAATTCCCAAGAATTATGCATCACGTGTTGTAGGTAGTTTCACCGTCATTCTAGTGGCCGGTCGGCTCACGAAAATAAACCGTTATCCGTTTTAAGATGTTTTACGGGTTTCTAGTGTTGAATTTGAATAAAAATGGCCATAATGTGTTTCTTTTCATGTGTCAGCCGGTCGCTAGAACGCCGGTGAGACCGATTAACGTGGATTTTTCTTACAGTGTACAACGTACACCATTCTTACAGTTATTTAGACTTGCCCACAAGATTGTCAGGCCACAAGGAGTGTGAGGATAGTCGGTGCAGGATATCCCCATTAAGTAACACAATTTTGGTCAAATTTCAATCTCTAGCCCAATTGAGGTCAGGTGCGCGGTAGTTCCTCTTGACCTGTTCAGTGAAATTTTACAGACGCGGCAGCTTCTGATTTGGATGGATTACCAGAAGCTGGGGCGACTCTAAATTTTGTTAGGGTGGACCAGGGCGGCAAGGACGGGCTGCCTATACTAAGGTGGGGTTCCATATTGGCCTGGGACTGCTACGTCCGAAACGCTTACCAAGGATGCGTAGGATACGCGTATGATACCCACACGCTGGCCGANTAGTGCACCGTATAATTACTGTTAACCAAATTATTATAGTGCACCGTATTAATTACTGCTCGCCAAATTATTATAGTGCACTGTATAATTTTTGTTCACCAAATTATTATGGTGCACCGTATATACTAAAAACATATTTTTGTATTAAAATGAAAAAAAAATTATTATAGTGCACTGCATAATTACTGTTTACCAAATTATTATAGTGCACCGTATTAATTATTGCTCACCAAATTATTATAGTGCACCGTATAATTTTTGTTCACCAAATTATTATGGTGCACCGTATATACTAAAAACATATTTTTGTATTAAAATGAAAAAAAAATTATTATAGTGATCTGCAAAATTACTGCTCACCAAATTATTATTGTACGTGCAAAATAATTACAGCGCTTCAAAATATTGTAGTCATTCACGTAAATAAATTCGAATGCATGCCCTTAATTTCAAATTATGGACAATTGCAAAATTATGAATTTTTTAGTGAGAAATAATTCAATGAGAAATAATCAGTTTGTTTTTATATCATAGGTTTTATTATTTTTATTAATTTTCGTCCTACAAACTGGTCTGATTGAATGTGACCTTAATATGTCAAGCTAAACAAAAATGAAGCCGCATTGCAATGTGATATTATTTACCGTTGTTTAATCCATTTCTGACATCTTCTACTCTGTCTCAAAATATTCGTGAGCGGTTGAAAAATTTCGTAGGTTTCAATTCAAAAATTTGTCTTTTTTAAGATTTAAATTCTGGACATGATTTCACTTGCTTACCGATGTTACGTCGAAGCTATCGAGGTTGGCAAAGTCTGGACAAAGCCCCTGGTCCACGTAGGCTAAGGCGGGCCCCAGCAGACCGAGCATCGCCAACACGTGGATCCATCTAGCCTGGCTGATGTCGAACATTATTAATAATGTCTGATATATAAATCTCGTTAGTCATGTGTGATTCAACCTAATAGATTCAAGTCATTTAGTGTTGCTTAACAATATCTTACATATAAATCTGATTAGTCATGTGTGAATCAACCTAAAAGTTTCCAGTCATTTATTGTTAATTAATATCTGATATATAAATCTGATTAGTCATGCGTGAATCAACCTAAAAGATTCAAGTCAGTTAATGCTGCACTACAAAGCCAGTACAGTCTTGTCAGCTTCAACCTGAAAGAATCAAGTCATTTAATATTGCACCTAATAGTCAGTACAACCTTGTCAGCTTCCACCTTAAAGTTTCAAGTCATTTATTCATGCACCTAATAGTCAGTACAACCTTGTCAGCTTCCACCTTAAAGTTTCAAGTCATTTATTCATGCACCTAGCAGTCAATACAGCCTCGTCAGGTTCAACCTCGTCAGGTTTCAAGTCATATAATGTTGCACCCAATACTCAGTTCAGTCTTTTCAGCTTCATCCTTAAAGTTTCAAGTCATTTAATGTTGCACCCAATACTCAGTTTAGTCTTTTCAGCTTCATCCTAAAAGTTTTAAGTCATTTATTCATGCACATTGCAGGCAGTCCAATCTTTTCAGCATCAACCTAATTGCTTCCGGTCAACTGATACTGCATGTTGAGGTCCCTCCAGTCCCGTTTGATCCAACCTAGTTTCCAGTGGGAGAGCTTCCAACATATGTAGTTTATCCCGATGGAAAGTGAAAAATTCACAAAACTGGATAGTGAGATAGTGAGAAATTCACAAAGTTTGTTAAAGTCAATAAAAATTGACAAATCAAGGCCACTGGGTTTTGTCAGAAAAGCTAATAATCTACCCCGAGAAAACGTAAAGATTAGCCCCCTACCAATAAAGGCAATTACTTCACAGCCAAATCTAACTAAGCCAACTCAAAACCTATTACAAACAGAATACAAAATGGAATATCAGCGTTTCATACTAAAATTCCAGTAAATGAAAACAGGATTCCGTCCTAAACCATAACGACTATCGTTAGATGAATTCCACACTCGTGATCTGCATCATTACATTAGAGTCGAGATTCAGGCAATTTCGGGGAGCTTAGCCAGCGATCTACGAAATGTAGGTGTCACTCGTTATTGATGACAATTTTCCCCGTCAAATCCTGGCTCCAGCAATATCTCCAAAACCTGGACAAATAAATCAGCTGCCCAGCTCCACCTGCCACTTCAGCGAGATCAACGAAAAATAACTTTGCGATAATGCATGAACAACCACGGATAAGTTGACCATGACGTACAACAAATTTAGTTAAATACTGATTCTCAGATACACTTTAGCAACTCCAAATAAGATCACAGTATTGAACTTCAGTGATCATACCGAACGCTGAGCGTTAAAATAACAGTAGCGAATGCAACGCGTGAACCTGAACAAAACACGGTACTCAGTGACGGTAGTACAGCACAGCTGCAGTAACTGTACCCCCTCATCTATGGCTACATCAACTGTTCTCAATGTTATTAATATTTTAAAACTAATAACTTAAGTTATTCCTTCCCGGTAGGCAGATTGATTAATTTCAGTTAATCTCATTAGGCTAAGGGCTAATTAGTCTCATTTGATCGTTCCTACTTCAGCCTACCAGATAAAAACTCTCTGGTCTGGGTAGCAGTGTGTGCTTTTTTTCAGTGTCTGTTGTCAGATGTGCCTTTTCCGGCCAAATTATTTGATTTGGTCATTTTTACAATTGAGTTAGCGGGATAAAATATGAAAGCTTTAAAC